TTTTTAAAAATAATAACAGTGTATTGGAGTATTTATAAAAAATTTTCAATATAAAAAACAATGTGTGTAATAAAAAACCAATAAAACTTTTTTAAAAAAAAATAAAATATGTGCATCAATATTTTGTTATTCACGTTGCATCATTCTTGGAAATTAAACACAAACCTCTAAGGATAAGATTTTTATGATGTTTGAATAGTGAGTTTTAAAAAATTTTTAAGTGAGAAATTTTTTAAAATATTACTAATATATTAGAATATTTTTTGAAAATTTTCAATAATAAGGTTTAGTTTATTTTGCTCAAATAAAGAAAAAAAGGTAAAATTGTGATGAATAACATAAATCAAGAAAATTATTGATAAATATCAAACTTAAGATCAATTTTATCAAAATTTAAAAGATAATATATAATTAATTAATTTTTTTAATAGGTGCTGTCGTAATACTAATCATTCTTCATGCATAATCAATTTTTAAATTTAAATTATTTTTGTATATCTAAAAATTATTTTTTTAATAAATTTTAAAATTTTATTAAAAAAATAAATTCTAATAGGTGAGTTACTAATCACATTTAATAAAAAAATATTAATGATGATTCAATTTTGTTTTCAAATTGATCTAACGATCCCAAAATAGTGGATGAAATGGTTAACCACATTGAAGAAACTGTCAAGTTGCGACTCACATTTGTTACTAGATTCTCTTGTTATCTAGTCAACGAGGATATTTGCTCCGCTTGAGGGCTCAGTGAAAACATATTCAAAATACAATTCCAAGTTTATTTTGTGACATTGGAACAGGTGTATTGTGTCACATGTAGCAGGGGTTCCTGTTTTCTTTGTTGGTAAATAAAAATTCTTTCATTTATTAAAAAAAAACTAAAAAAAAATTTGTTAAAATCACCATGAGGAAAAAAATAATATTGAATTATAAATATCGACAGATTTCAACTCTTTTACAAGGGCTTTCCCTTTCAAACAACTGGTCCCATCATTGATGTTGGTTTTTGTTGTCCAGTGGAATCATTGATGAATCCCTAGGCACCATTTTCTACAGTAAAAAGAAAATGCCTCTTTTGAGTTTGGATGTGGTCGCAATGGCAAAGGCCAACGGGTCCCTCCATTTTTGGGTCACTTTGTTTTTATATGATCTCTCCTTCCTTAGTGTTGACCCCACAAGACCCCGCACTTTCCTGCGTTAAGCCTCTCCCCATTTTCTCAGCTGTTTTGGTACTTTCAAAAGTATTTCTTGTTGGAAATTGAAATACCATTACACCAACAATGAGTAGCAATTAATTTTCAATTTTTTATATTTATTGAGATTAAATTTGATAATTTAAAATATAAATATAATAATATAATATAAAAATAAAATTGATATATTTTAAAATTTTAATAAAAATTATATATTAACTTAACAAAATAAAAAATATATATTTAATATATTCATATTAATACAAATTATAATGTGTATTTTTTATATAAAATAAAATATAAATATATAAATTATTAATATTTTATGAAATATATATACATAAATTATCATATCTAATTTAGATTTTATTTTTTTATTGAAAATACCCTAACTCTTTTGTGTATAGTGCATTGATATCAAAAGTTGAAATTTTAGATTTAAAGAAACACATTTTTTAAACAATGTTAATTTGTTTTAGCCAATAACTAATGTGACAAAATGAAACAAATCCAAAAACCATTAGAAAACATTTGAATTCAAAACCATAAAAATTTTAATTGACCAAATAGTTAAAGATTTGAATTTAAAATCGAGGAACTTGTAATAACTCAAAATTAATAGTTAAAATACAAATTTTATTTATCAATTTTTGTATTTAATGTAATTATTAATTTTATCTTAATTTGAACTCAAATTTAAAATAATTTAATAAAAAATGTCTTAAATTTTGAATGATTCAAGTTTAAAATAATTTAAATTTGATGTAATTCATATCTAAAATGACTTAACTTTGACCGATTTTCCACCTCTAACTATAATGATGCATATGTGGCAGAAATTATGAACAATACTTATTTAGTAGGAGTATTTATTTATTTTAAAATGCCTAAACTTCTTATGATTTTGGGTAATTACTAATAATGAATAAAAGCATAGGTAACACTATTATTCTCCTCAATTTCGACATGTGAGTGATAAAAAGAAAATAAAAATATTATGATGATTATCAACGTTTGTTAGTTCAAATGATAAAAGTTTTAATTTTTTTTAAATAAAATTTTTATTTTAAATTTTATAAATAAAAAAATTTATTTTTTTATAAGATTTGATCAAACTCAATTTTAAATTAATTAAAATCTAAAATGATTATCAAGAGTTTTAAAAAATATATATTGTGAAGGTTTTTTTTTTTTTTATCTTAAGTTTACCAAAAGCGAAAAAAGTGCAATCAATTGAAAGATATGTTACTTGCAACCGTCCAAATATATCTGATTGTATGACCCTTGTAAAGCTATTGTCAAATCATGGGTTAAGTTAATCTTATATATTTTATTAGTAGGCCCCACTTGAATTATTTTTCCTTTAGGGAAATGGCGTCACACTCGTTGCACAGTGTCGAATGGATTGGAGAACCCTTGGCACGACACGATTCAGCTGTGAGCCGTGTTTGATATGGTTTATAGTTAAATAATCGGGTTAGATGAAATTAAATACATATATTTGTATAGTATTAGGTTAGAAATTTTTAAATTCATGATCGGTATCGTACAGTCTGCTAAGGATTAATATTAGTACGTGACACATGAAGTAATACGGTATGATAGACAAACTCAAATATATCATATTATGTGAGCTGATAATTGTTATAAATGGACTATAACCTTTGGATGTATTCTTATTTTTTTATAATTTATAAAATAAAATTATATTAAATAAATTTGTTTATTAAATATTTAAATTATTAATAAATAAATTATATTTAATTAGTTTGCAAGCCATTATTATTCATGGATTATTTTTATTTACTTAAATTTGTGTGAATAAAAACAAAGTAGCAATTTTTTCCAAGTTATTTGATTAGATTTTAGTTGTAAAATAAAATACGGGATTGATCATTTGAAAAGACATAAGGAAAATAGAGATTGTATTTGTCACTTTTAATTATCTCATACAAATTATATTTAGTCGACATCTCAATAAATTTTTAAGTACATTTTATTTTTCACAAAATAATTAATATAATCAATTAATTAAATTTATAATACGATTTGAACAATCATTTGATTTTGAAAATGATAAACATTTTCATGATTTAATTTAAAATGGTATCTCAATTTGTAAAACAGTTTCAAGAAAAAACGTTAAATTAGATGCTTTTAAATTATTTTTTTATAAAAATTTTTATATTTAGTTCATCAAAATTTTTTTTAAATTTCACTTACTTCTAATATATAGATTTGTTGGCAAAATCTTAACTATATGTTTATTATTTGGGTATTAGATAGATGATGTGCATTTTTTAAAAAAAAAGAATAGAATTGTAATTTTAATATATTTATTTAATGAATTTTATTATCCATCTCTATAAATGTAAATATTTATTAAATTATGTAAATTATATATATTTACATTTTGTATTTATTATTATCTTTTGTATATTATTTTTAATAATAATTGATAAAAATTTTAAAAAATAATTAAAATTTTAAAAAATTAATAAATTATATTTGACACAATTCGATACAATACAACTTACAAAAATTTCGTATCATTTATAGTGCTAGGCCATATAATTAACCTTCATGAGTCATGTTAAAAAATAATATTAAATCCATACAATTTAGTACCGTATGAATAATATTTAAACAGTGCCCACCCACTTCAACTTATTTGAGATTTCTACGTGTATCATAAAAAACCTAATCATTGTGGATTAGTTTATTAGATTTTATTCTTTTAAAAAGGAACAAATTCTATTATTGGTAAGGTCAACATCAACATCCGCACCAAACCAAAATTTGGAGAAACCTGGGAAACCCCACAGTTTAATTTTTGGATCTATGCAAGTTGTTTACAATTTTCTTTTCAAAAAAATTATAGTATTTTTTTTTATATATATTTTTAGGTTTTATTATTTTTAGGTGTAAAATGAAAAAGAAAAAAGACAGTAGGGAAAGGGAAGTGAACACGTGTGAGAAGAAAGCAGCGTGAAAAGTCATCCTTACAGGTAAGGCCACGGTGACAGAAGCACATGTCCGACACTTTGAGTACAGTTTTGGAGGGAAAGAAGGTGAAGCCCACCCACCTCAAAGGAGAGGGAATGGGTAAATTTGGAAACCTAAAAAATCCACACCTTGCCAAGATATTTCTTCTAAATTTATTTGAATTTAATTAACAAAATTAAATACCAACTGTCAATATATTTATTTGTTTAATAAAAAAGGATACTGACGATGAAGAGAGGTGCCCTTTTCAATAACCTTCTTTATTTTTATTTTTTTGAATATAAAATGTAAATTTTAATTTCAATTAATTTATATAATTATTAATATAATATTTAATAAATTTAATAGTTAAATTTCAATATTTCCAACTTTTTCTCTGCCACCTCTACCATAAAAAAATTTCTCTTAAACTTAAAAACTGTATCCTCTATTAAAGAGAAATCGGGGCGTGTTCACCGATCGGCAGAGGAAGAAATATGGACAGCGCAGTGAACAAAGTGGGGGATGAATGGCCCACAATTTTATACCCTATACTCTATATAAATACCAAACCAAACGAAACAGAACATAAGTGAATTTTTGTAAATATGTATTTGTACTGCAACATATTTTCTAACATTTTTGCTATTGAAGTTTGGTCAGGCTCAGGCTCCAATTTATCCACCTCATCATCTTTTGCCTGCACAAGATATCTCCCCATCACCAGACAGGACAATCGACCCAAACATTTCTCTAAATTTTTCTTTTGCTTGCCGCTACTCAAAATCTACGTTTTCTTTTAGCACAGTAAACAAAAATTTACACAACCGAACTGAATCAAATAAAAGTATAGGCATATATAAGAAGTGGCACAATCAAAATGGATTGGAGACAAAGAGATTAATAATAAAAAAATGGAGGGTTACTCTTATATGTGCCAGACATATACATATACACCCTTCAGTTGCACATATTATGTCAAAAGATTAGTTTACTGACCTATTCTGGAAAATTTAAAATCCCAAAAGAGAATGGTAAAAAATAATAATAGGAAAAAGAACCTCCATTACAGCCCCAAAACATGGAAAAGTAGGTGTTTCTCGTCCTTGCTTTTCCTCATCCCTATTCCCTAACCATCTTTTGCCCAACAAAAATTTTTAACAACCTTTTTTTTCCTATCTTCTGCCCCCCATCAATCCAATCAAATTTAATTAGACTTCAGCATCAACCTTGTCAGATTATAAACACAAGTGTCCTATATGTTGGATACACATTGCAAGCACAATCCACAAGGAACAATTTCCCCACCACTGAATTATACTCCGCAAAATTGTGGGTTGAGTTATATGCCACACGATAGCTTCAATCATCCTCTGCTTGCTTCGGCTGCCAGAGTATGCCGTAATTTCTGGGCAAGAAACCAGTGTCCCCATCATAAATCTTCAGTCCCCAATCTAAATAAATGCTCTTTTCATTGCTCATCTTTTTCTTGTTCCCTGTATGGGGGATTGCAATATGAAGCAGAAAGGTACATGATTCTATTCACCAGCAGGGTGTTTCTGCTCTGCTGGTTTTACCTGAACAGCAGCACGGACAGCATGAACATATGGGAAGCCTGGCACAAGCTGATGCGGCTTTCCAGAGGACTGTGTAGTAGCCAATTGAGCAGTATGGATAAGTCCCTGTGATGCTAAGCCGCCACCTTTCATATTGCCTGCAGCTGCAGCTGCGGCAGCAGCAACTACTGCCTTTGCAGAGTCAGTGGAGCCACTGTTGGCTAGAGTAACTGTAGAACACATCGACAACATTGAAGTTGATGAAGTTGTTGATGAGCCTGGAGGCTGTGTCTGCTGTTGTTCATTACGCTGTCTTTGAAGATAGTACCCACCTGCAGCTGTTGCATTAGCGGTTGTACTTGGTGAGTGTTGAGCTTGGGCCTGCATGTAAACATTTGAGAAGAACAGTTGCGCTTGTTGCGGTGCATGCTTTTGATGCAGATGCTGCTGCTGTAGCGCCACTTGGGGCTTGGTTCCCGAATTTGAAGATGAACTGATATGGGCGTTTCCCAAGACTGATGGCACGCTCCTTCCACTAACAGGAGATGACTTCTGACTAGGCACTGAAGGTGAGTTCTTGGCCTGCTGCGATGATAAACTGGATGCTTGGCCAACTTTGTTGCCAGTAGAAGTGGAACCTGTTGTCCTTGGACTACCACCAGCACTCCTGGAGATTGACGTTGTGGGAGAGCCAATAACCATAGGAGGAGAGGGGGATGGAATGCTACTAGGAGGCTGTTGACCTTGTGTTGCTTTAGGATTAGCTGCAAAAGAAATCTGTGTGTGGCTTTGCTGTGGCCGGCCTTGTTGCTGGGAAATATTCTTGAGGGATGATGAAGTTGAAGGTAGAGATGGAGAAGGAACTCGAGAGGAAGTTGTCCTGACAGAATTCTTCCACTGAGGAGATTGAGCTGGACCGCTGCTGCTTTGCACTAGATTTTGAGGAAGTGCAGACAAGGCGTTTGGAAACTTTGCAGCCATAGATGAGGAAGGAAGGTGATCAGAATAAGCAGTTACATTACTTGTTGCTGCTGTCTTACTTCGAGGAGCAGAAGCAGTCCCAAATTGGTGCGGCTTCTGAAGCTGAAGCATCTGCTGTTGTTGATTCCGCTGAAGTTGCTGTTGAGCATTAGGAACATTGACGCCACTCATTGAAGCTGGCATAACAGAACCTGAAGTTCTGGCAGTCGTAGTGCCAAGATTAAAGGTTCGTGCAGAACTATCAATGACATTGTTGCCTGGAATTGTGGAAACAGATGAATCAGACAGATCCGGCCTGGAGAAGGCAATGGACTGCCCAACAGTAGCTGAACTCTTTCCAGCCATGGCCTTCATTTCTGCTTCCACACTAGAAGCATCATTAGCTCCGCGCTTCCCTTCTTCAGAAGCATGATAATTATTCTTCTGTTGTGCTGCTTGGGCAGCTACAGCAGCTGCCATGATCTGTTGATAGCCTTGCCTTGTACTTTCTGAAAGGCTCTGAAGAATTGCATGGTTTTGTGGAAAGGAGGAAATATCAAGGCCAGGAGCAGTAGCACCATTAATGGAGGCAAATGGCATAGCAAAAGCTTGAGACGTAAGATGCTCAACTCCAGCCTTTGAGCTTGGCTGTTGTGATGGCTGTTGTGTCTGTTGCTTCTTTTCCCCATGGTTACCACCAGAACTCGTGGAACCACCCATTGAAGCAGCAGTCATCAAAGCAAAGTTAGGAGGCGGTAAGGGCATAGCAAAATTCTGACTATAAATATTCAAATTTGCACGAGATACAAGGCTATCAGCGGTTGATGGGCTATCTTCGCCACCTAATTCTCCCTCAAGTTGCCGAGCTTGATGAGCTTGATGAGAAGCATGATGCTGACTTGGTTGTTGCTGCTGTTGCTGAAGCGGATGAGGTGTCTGGTTTTTTGAGGCAGAAAAAACTTGCAAGTTTCCACTTCCATGTGGCCTCTGCTGCTGGTTCTGCAAATGTTTCTGGGAGGATGATGAACCACTGGACATGCTAGTGTTCTGATGACCTTGATGGCTATGCTGTAACTGTGTGGGTGGCTGTTGCTGCTGCTGCTGCTGAAGCTGCGGGTGAAGCATTTGGGAAGAATAGAAAGATCCATGAATAAAAGGCATAGGCTGACCATGATTCCCTCCATATGGAGATGGACCAACATGTGCAGGAATTGGAAATGGATAGGCATTATTCTGCAGAATTGCCAAGAACTGGGTTTCATTGCCGGGCACATTCGAGTAGTTGAAGCTCTTTGCTGGGGCTGCAGTTGCACCAGCAGGGGTGGCACTCACTGAGGCAGAGTTAGATGTACTCAATGAACCTGTGCTGCCTGTAGCAGGAGGAAATTTCACTGACCCAGTTCGTACAGATGCTGCTGCAACAGCCGCCTGTTGCTGGCTCAATGGGAAAATAAAAGCAGGGCCGGGCTGAAATTGAATTCACCAGAAAGCAAAATTTCAAAATGTTTGTCCAGATAAATTGTGGAATTATCACAACCTTGGACTTCATAAAAAAATTAGAAAAGAAAAAGTAGGATTTTCTCGGGTAAGAGCATACCAGGATACCACTGGGTGCCCCTGGGGGTAGAGCTTGCTGGAGCAGAATTTGCTTTCTCTGTGCAGCATCCACCATGTTGGCAGCAGCCTGACAACTTTTATCTTTGCCAACATGACCAGGAAAAATTGATAGACCCTGCCCCTTGTCTTGTACAGAATTCACACCTCTCCCAGGAATGTTCTCATGCAATTCTGAAGGGGGCACAACATTTAGATTGCAAGCCTTCGGCCCATAGAGTGAAGCTGAGCCAGGTGCTGCAGGCCAGAAGGGATTCATCTTAATGAATTGCTGGTAACAGTGAATATTCCGAGCAATGTAGCAATGGGTTGCACATCTGTTTGACCTTGGTTGAGTAAAAAGCAAATGAGGAGGCTGCAAAAGTCCAAAATTTCAAGATAAGTTAGGACAACAAAAGAAAAGATAAAGAAATCAAGACCTATGAACATAAAGAACAAAGCGACATGCCCGAATAGCTGCAGAAGATACTGCGCTCCCATCCATGGACACAACACCTTGTAGAGGCGCTATGTATCTGCTCAGGAAAAGAAAAAGTCATTTCCCCCATTATAACATCTAAACCACTGGTTTAGATCTGCTAATCCCAAAAAAGCACAAAACTAATATCAAATCAACCCAGCTATACCCCATTGGAGGAAGTCCACCAGGCCAGCTAGCCATTGACATCGGCGAAGGCAAAGAACCAGATTGTGCTGTGCAAGGCAAAAAAAAAAAAAAACCAGATCAGCAATACATGGAGAGATGGGAATTTTCCCAGGCAGGAAAAAGAAAAAAAAGAGGATTAATTTTACCAGTTTTCTCTGCACTGGGTTGTTGATGCTGCAGCTTTTGAACATGGTGATTGAGCTTGTTCGCACAAACGCTATCTGTGCCACTATCTCTATCAGATTTCTCCAAATCAAGCTGAAGATCAATATTCCTTTCTATATTTACAACTGGTTTATGTGATTCAGCTTCTTCGATAATCGGTTTGGGCTTATTATTATCCTCATCTTCCACATTCACATCTTCCTTTCCGATTTTCACTCTTTTATCATCTTCCATTACGATAGTCTCCGTCTCCTGTAGAAGAAAGCAAATAAAAGACCATTTATTTATGACACATCATACCAAAAGATAAGTGACAGCTAGGAGACTCACCAATTCCATATCTGTGGCCATTGGTTTAGGATCTGGAGCCCCAAAATCAATCTCACCATCCCTTTCTGGAGATGATCTAGACGGAGGAGGAGCCTAAACAAAAAAAAAAAAAAGGAAAAAAATCTTAGAATTCCATGGTCAATAATTATTTAGGAAGAGAGAAAAAAAAACTTGGATCTTTTAACAAAAACAGGATCCACACCATCAGATCTATCTGGAACTTCTCTTCCCGCTGACTCTCATTCTCACAAACTGTTGAATTCCTGAAACACCAAAATTTTCCACATTTTCAAGCTTTCCAGACTTGTAAACACCCAAAAGAAGAAATGAATAAAAGGAAATAATGCTCACGCTTTTATCACTGCCAAGTTCTCACGCTCATCATCCAATGGGAGACCAGTTGAAGAAGGATTATTAGCAGAAGGTGAAGATTCCTTTTTTGGCGATTGAGACTCTTCTTTTTTACAGATACCGATATCTCTGCTCTCAGCTTCTTCGGTCAAAGGCTTAGAATCCGGTACCAAATTGCTCTTCTCTTCCTTCACTGGTTCAGACTGAACCAGCTCTGATAAAGCTGGTCCGGCTTGTGAAGAATTCATCAAATCATAAGAACTACCACCATTTTCAGCGACCGGTCCTGAATTCTTCTCCAAATTGGAAAACGTAGCTTCAATTTTAGCTGGTTGATCAGTTTCAACCTTAGCTGTAGTAGACGAAACGCAATTGTTGCTAACAGGTAAAATAGAAGGTGGAGCTGTCACCGTAGTCTCATCCTCATACTTCACCGTTCTCGGTCTTTTCCTCTTTGGAGCTGCAAAAACAAAACAAAACAAACCCAAACCAAAATCTGTCACCCAATTGCTCAAAACGCAAAACCTTTTCTTTCCCTCTAAGCTGGAAGCTACTAACCAATTGCAGACATGGGTGTAGCAGAGGAGTTAGAAAGTGAAGGCAAATTAGAAGATGGTTGAGGAAGAGATGATGGGGAGTTAGAGATCGGCGAAGAGACTCTTGATTTAGCATCATTATTGGGTTTATTAACTTCTCTTGCATCGAACTTGACCGAATCATTCCCAATTATATCTTGCTTAGATGGGACTTGTGGCTGCCTCAACAAACCATATAAAACCTCCGCAATCTCGATCTCAATCTCTTCCTGAGCTGAAGATGAAGATTTGGACGAAGATTTCGGTGGCCTTTGTTTCGCTCCGTTTGGCTTATACATCAGAAACCAAAGCTTTGTCAGGAGAAGGAACAAAAACAAAGCCCAAAAAACAAAGAACAAAGGAAGGTTTTGATCAGAAAACTAACCACTTTCTTCCTCGTAGAAGCATTGGAAGAAGATGGAGAGGGTGGAGCTGGTGCTGGAGCCGGTGATGTTAACATCCCAGCTAAACCTGTCCTCACCGGCGAGGTTGAAGCTTGACGATGAATTTGTTCTCCGCCTATAACACCAACGCCACTGCCACTTGATATCAATTCATGAGACCTTTTAGTAGCTGTAAAAAGATAAAATTAAAAAGGAAAAAATACAACAAATCAGTGAATTCAAAAGAAGAAAACTTGCTAACAAAAAAGACTGAATTTCGTTAATCTCTTCCACCTCTCTACCTGACCGAGCCTTTCTAGGCACAGACACGCCAATCATCTCATCGGCGGCCTTCCACGTAGACGAGATAGTTGTGGTACTAGTCATAGCCGCCCCCACCGGTGGTGTAGTTCTAAAAACTTTCACCGGCGGTGGAAAACTCTTTCGATGTTGATGATGCTGTAGATGTTGCTGATGCTGATGTTGCTGCTGTTGATGATGATGGTGATGATGATGATTTGACATCGACAAGGACCCGCCTGTGTTATTTGGCGGAAGCATCCGAACAGAACCTCCACCGGTGGTTCCACAGCCATCTTCATCGTCATCATCTTCGTCATCGTTTACACTTTCTTCAGAACTATCATCGGGCCCATCTTCTCTGTTACTTATCAATCTATCGCCTCTTCTTCTCTTACTCGTTCTACTCAAGCGATCTCTTTCTCTTTCTCTATCTCGTTCTCTGTCTCGCTCTCTATCTCGCTCACGTTCTCTTTCCCGTTCCCTTTCTCGATCTCGGTCCTTCTTTCGATCCCTTAAACGCGCCGTTTCCTGTAACTCCACCTGCCCATCGTCCTCTGAACCAAATCCAAAAAAAAAAAAAAAATCAGTAAATTCACAAGAACAACACCGTTAGAGATGAAAAGAAAAGCCAGATCTGATTTTAAAACCTGGGGAGTCTCTAAGAGAGCTACTTCTATGCCGCCGCCGTGAAAGGCCATTTGCTGCGGCGGCGGCGGCCATAGTGACTCTCCTCGCTTCTCTGGTTCTATCCATCGCCGTAAATTAACTCGTTTTGCTGATAATAAATTAGTTGTTATAGAAACGAGGCTAATCGCATCACTCATCAGTCAATCGTCTCAAATTTACCATAATTAGCGGGAAAATGAGCTCCGATGACTATCTCCGGCGAGAAAACCGACTTCAATAGTTTTCAAGATCTTGTGTTGAAGCAATCTGTCAGGCTTGAATGGTGTTACCTTTCTATTGTTTCTCTGTTCCTCTCCCACTCTATTTTCTCTTCTCTTCTCCTTCTCTCTTTCCTCTTTGTGTTCTCATCTCGTATTTCTTTTGGCTATTTCATTCTCCACAAAACCCACTCCAACTAATGGACGGCCACGATCGATGACTGCAATAAATGCTGAAATACTAACCGTTGATTCCTCGACAAATCCAACGGTTTTCTATGGCTTAAACCATCGTGGCAAGATCTGAACTGTTTGATTAATGGTCTCTACACGCTCTTAACCTTTTCTGAATTATACCTCCACGTGTCATTTTTTTTTCCCTCTCAATCTTCCCTCGTTTCATTTCACTCACCAGTCATTACCGATTTGGTAACAACAAATAATTAATTTTGTGAAAAAATTTAGTTTTAAAAAATTTTAAAAAATTAGGAAATATAATATTAGGGTTAGGAACTGTTGCTCACGAATCACGATCAACTGAGGCGCTCTTGAATTCCCGAAGAGCTGTTGCTACCGGCTATTTCCGGTTGCAGAGACCTTGGTAAAAGCAACATGACAATCACAAAGAATCTAGGTGACCGCAAAAGATATCTTTCCAACCAGTCAAATTAATTATTCCGGTTCCACGTTTTAAATTTTACTCCATATTTTTAATAATTACTGCTAATGGAATTTAGAATTTTTCATTAAATGTTGCCTAAAATTGAGATGGGCCTACTTGAAAACATCCAAATATGTAATCGACGGACCAGATTGGATATAACCAGTAAAAGCAACTTCAGTACCCCTTGTATTACGATCTGACGTGGCTTATCATCCTTTTTAAAGAAAGCACCCTTAACCAGATTACTAACGAACAAACACGTCCCAGCTGGCACCGAACCCGGTGGCTAGAGGTTGTCGATCAGCGAGCCGGATCTAGACCGCCCGATGGATTGATTCGACGGCTGGGATATCAGGGAGGGAACTAGAGTCGCGGTCACGGAACTTCCCAAAATGTAGGCCCCATAATCAGCTACCGATCTAGAAATTATTTCCTCGCGTCGGTTTATTGTCACGTTCGTGAGATGTGGCAGATTGTGGTGACGTGCGAAAGGGTCCCATTTCTCAAATATTTTAGAAAGAAAAAAAAATCGGAAACCTACTCGCTCGGTCAAATTTTACCCCGCAGTTAAAAGAGGAAATAAAAGCGCCGAGTCTTCGGCGCATTTACACCACGCGCTTCGGGCGGGATTCACATTTCACACAACGTTAAAAAGAGAAAAATTTATAGTAAAAAGCAACCTGACGGCAAGTCGGTTGCATTATGTGTCAGATCATGCGGCCGACACGTGGTTCTGTTCCACGCTTATTCGTCGCCTCGGATCTTGTTATTGGCTACCCTTCCACTTTTTCATGGTCACACAAAAGCGGTAAATAAAATATCCTTTAGATAAGAGGTAAACAAAAATAGAAAAGTGAAAAAAAAAATAAAACAAGGTATTTCACGCAATTAATGACGTGGCAAATGAAAAAACCTGTTTTGGTTAACTAGATTTAATTTAATTAGATATTGATTGTCTCCACTTGCGAGTTTTGAGTGGTGAAGGCTTCATTGCACGAGGATGTCATTTTCTCAAGACCCTTGAGCAAGAAAAAATAAAGATAAAAAAATTAATTTTTGGGAGACCATGGTGACCACGTCAGAGTCTTGGACCCACCAAGAAAATAATTGACCCACTATTAGATTTTTTAAAAAATTAATAATTCATATTATTATATCATATAAAATATTATATTTATATTATATTTTATATAAAAATATATTATAATTTAGATTTATATAAAAATATAAAATACAATTTTTAATTTTATTAAATTTATTAAAATTTTAAATCATATTATATTTATATTTTTTATTAATATTATATTATTATATCATATTTTTAATTATCAAATCTAAATACCTTCTTCCACTGCGTTCCGTCGTTTTGTGAGAGCTCTCATTCCTTCGCAATCGTCTAATCCCAAAGCTGTGCCACCTGTGCACTTAATGTGCTACATCATTGTGCTTACGTGGCAACCTCTTTGACCATGCGGTTAACCCTAGCCGTCAACCAGCAATAACAGGCCCTTCCCGACCCCATTTATCTCCCATTAGTTGCGTGTATTATTAATATATTTAATCTTCAAAGCATCCCAGGATGAACAAAATATTTTAATTAATAATTTGGCTTGTTATTGAATAAACAATGAATACTAAAAAATGTCAATTTAAAAACAGCAAAACTAGATGTTAGATGTAACCAACCAAAAAAATCCATGTTGTTTATTATTAGAGGTACTTGGTTTGCAAATTTTTAAATTTTAAAAGAAAAAGTAATTTGAAAAAAAATAATATTAAAGAAAAATATATAATTTATAAATTCTATTGATTTAAAAAAATATAAAATTTTTATATTTAATTACAAGAATATAAGATTATAAAATAAAATTTTTTATTATATTATTTTTGATAATATATGAATAATACATAACACCGAAATAACATAAAAACAAACAAGTGATTTATTTAAATGTTTATTTATTTAACAAGTAAATTGTTCATTTAGTATTTTTGTTAAATTATTTAAGTAATAGTATTTTAAATTTATTGCACATATAATATATGTAATAATAAATTTTTTATGTAATAATAAATTTTTATCATAATATAAAATTTTTTCAGTTTTTAACAAAAATCTCATCGTAAATCTTAAAAGCATCACCTCTATTGAAATTTTAAAATTTTGAAAAATATTTTTTTTTGTATTTTTTAACAAAAATCACATTTTTTATCTTAAAAATATTGAATTTGTTGAATTCTAAAAAATAATTTTTTTTATAATTTCAACAAAAACCATATTATTATCTTAAAAATGTCATTTTTGTTGAATTTTGAAAAAAAAAAAATTTCACATTTGCAACAAATATCGCATTTTGTCTAAAAATGTCGTCTTTGTTATAGTTTAAAAATTAAATAAAAAATAACATAAAAAATTATCATAACAGTTTTTTAGTGACCATTAGACGAATTTTTTAAAAAATTAAAATAAGTGAGTCATTATCAATATTTTTTATTTGTGCGATTGATCACCTAAAAATTTATATTTTTAATAAAATCTTAAAATTAATTAAAATTTATTAGAAAAATAATTTTAGGTCTGTAAAAATAAAACTATGTTTGAGAGTACAGTTACGTGTGGGAAAAGATTAATACCCTACAATGTTGTTTTTTAAAAAATATATAAATTAATATTGTGTTATGTTTTAATTTTAATAAAAATGTCTTAATTTTAACATTTAAAAATGATTTTCTTAATTTTCTTTATTTTATCGGAATTTTGATTTTTTTTCTTTTTTTTTTACTAAATTTTTGCTTTTTCCCTTTTTTAAAATTATTATTTCATTTTTATTTGAAAAATATATTGAAATCTTATTATTGAAAAATTTTCAAAATGTTTCAATACGCTAATAAATTTGAGAGAAATTTTCTTATCTAAAGATTTATTAAGAATCACTACTCAAACTTCTCATTAATCTCATTTTTAGTGATCTATAATTATCTTTAAAATCAATATTTAAACAAAAACGATGCAAATAGTAAAACATGATGCTCATAATTTAATTTGAATAATAATTTTCTTTTATAAAAAAATTTCTTGCTTTTTAATAAGTGAAAAGTAAACGAGAAACTCATATTCAAAACTATTCTAAATACCCAAATACTTTGATAGTATTATAAAAAAAAAATTTTCATTTAGGAAATTCTTAAGAATTACTACTTGGATTTCTCAAAGTCTCATCATTAAGAAAACCTTTATTTTCTTTAAACATTTAATAATAGAAATTTTCACAAAAATATATAATTATCTATAATATTTGTTTTCATAAGCTTTATTAATTACTTCAAAACATGCATATTTTATAAAAAAAAATTACTAATATGAATAACGTAAAAATATTCGAATATAAACAAAAAAAAAGTATAGAAATTATACCCCAAATGAAGCTCTAATGTTAAAGCCCAAAGTTTTATGTTTGTCAAGCCTAAGCATTTGAAGTCCAACAACCACTAAAAATGGGTCCGGGCATATTGGACTGCTAAAACAAGTTTAGCTAATAGGTGGGCTGGGTCATGGGCGAGGGTAGAGCTGGATCAGTCAAGACAGTTTGGCCCACTTGATTATTTTTTTTACTAAAAGGTTTTTTTTTCTCAAATCATTTCCTTCATTCTTAAAAAAAAAACACTTTTCAATTCTCCAGATATATCAAATAGTCACCCACCTAAGCCCAATTTCCAACCAACATCATCATCGCTGTCATAGCATGCCTCCGTCGGCTGGCATCTTTTTTTCCTCAAATTTTTATCCCAAAGTCCTTTTGAACCCCTTTTATCAAATCTAGCCCCTATTTTTTCCAAAAAAAAAAAAAAACCTCTAGAGTCACAAATCTAAAGCTTTAAACCAAAACTTTGAACCATTATTTTTCCACTTTTCGCCATTTAATCATCCGAAAATTCTAATATGTTGGTCTCATTTCTATGCTCTACCTACCCAGTATTCAAATCTCATAAAAGTTTCTTTGCTGCAGTCACTCTCTTTATATGTCATCGCTACTAATGGCATTTGTACCATCAAAAATGGTTCCCTCTATCTTCTCTTTTACAAACACTACCTAAATCTTCTCAAAATGCTTTTAATTCTCAAAAAAGAATCCCTGATGCTTGAAACACTCATCTTCCTCAGATTTTTTTTGTTTATATACTAACAGCCTATGGTATTTTTTGTGACTCTTTATATACTGTGGCTTTGACTAAGATTCTTTCCTAAGGGAAAGATTATGGTTTTTTTTTTATTTTTGGTGTGAATTTTTTTTATTTAGGTGGGTGTGGCCAAATGGTTCTATTATGGGGAAACTATTGTGGTGGTTTGGATGGCCATTGTGGTGGTTTAGAGAAGCTATGGTGAACATGAGCTATTAGTTAGGGGAAGAGGGTTAGCGATGGTGATCTGTGGTAAGAAAATCACAGTTGTGTTGGTGATGCTGGTGGTGTTGGTCAATTGCTTTGGTTTTTTTTTTTTTTTGTTAGGGTGAAAAAATGATGGTGGGTTCTTTGAGAGATGAAACTTAGAATTTATGGTGGTGGATTGGTGCATAGGTCTTAGAGTTGTAAGTAGTGGTCGTAAGATGTGCTAGGGTGGTAATGGATGGGAAAATGGT